AGGAGGTGTATCATTGACATACCAAGTAAACCTGGCCCGCACAGGAGATGGGCACTCCCCGACAGCAGGAGCGAGAAAACGCCCAGCGATGATGGCCCATGAAGATGTCCACCTCAGACAGACAGGACCATCAGGGACATACATCTGAAGGAAGGATTCCAGGAACTGGGGACAGATACACATCAATTCCTGGACGAGGCTTTGTCCAGCACAGGACAAAGAATAGACATAACATGAAGAACTCCAGGAGGGGACAAAGGGACTCTGCTGCGGGCAAGAAAAAGAGTATAAAAATCGAACTCTATGGCGTCATTGGTGAACAGGAGGACTTGGGGCGATAGAGGCCGGATCAGAGTTCACCCGCTCCGATCCCGGGGTCCCTGCTGCTTTTTGATTATTGGTGGTTGGGACTGTACATCGGTCAGGAATAACTTTTATTTTTATTTTTGATTTAATTGGCTGGATCAATTTTTACCTATAACACTGCCTTGGTTTTATGTCTCACGCTGGCCCCTCTGTCCCTCTTTTCACAGCAGCGCTTTCCACGCCGTCCCTAGCTGCTGCACCTCAGCGGTCCTGCTAAGGGCTGACCCTGCCCCAGCCCTCGCTCCGGGAGCAGGAGCAGAACTCGCAGACACCTGCGGGGACCCTGGGGATGTGCCTCGCGTTCCTTTCGCCCCTTCCTTCTCCCTCTCTCCCCTCACTTGCCGAGGCTGCCGTCCTGGACTCAGGACCCAGGCAGGCTGGGAGCCAGCTCCGCCGCTGAGCCAGCCGGCTCCTCAGAGGCAAACCCGTGTGATCCGTGCCCAGCACCGCCACGTTATGAATAAAAAGTTATCTATTTTTGTTTAAGGTTGCAGAGTTAAAACCGGTTGGACCAGTTGCTATTAAGTTAGTTTCACTGTTAAGAATTCTTCTTCAATTGCCTGGTAATGGTTGGTGATTAGCCATTGTCCCCCTGGTGCTTGCCCGGGAGCGACATTGGGACCCTGCAGCAGCAGGGCATGGGAGAGGCATCAGAGCTAGTATGCAGGTGAGAAATGCATTGCACCAAATCTTCCCATTTTCCAGGAAAACCCCTAAAAACAACGAGCCAACATAGATTAGGGGACCTAGGTGATGTCTAAGGATGGGCGCGAAGTCCAGTGCCTGCTTGGATCCTTTTTGCTTCTCACCCTGACCTGAAAGGATGTTCACTAGGGAGGGGACCCGAAGTGTTGGACCGAAAAGGAGGAATCTGCGAATCTCCCGTGAGGAGGCAGTCCCCAGCTCTGCCTGCAGACCAGCGGACAAAGCTGCATCGTCATCATTCTCCCGGGAGAAGCGGCGGTGCGGGTGCGGCCCGTCGATTTCTCCCCACCTGAGCTGATTCTCTTTAATAAAGGCATTAAAAAGGAGAAAGATCTCCTGCCCATTTATTTCACGCCACAGGGCCGGTGAGCGTGTCCGACAACCCCACACCCTCCGGGACTCTGGCACCACCAAGCCAGCCCCCTACCCCAGTGGAACCCCACACAAACCGCGCCGGGTCACTCCCAGAGAGGTCACCACTGCCCCTGCCGCAGCCCCCGAGACCTTGCCCCTCACTCGAGAGCGGCCAAATACCTCCTAAACTTGACAGTTTTTAACCTAGTATCCCCAAGTGTTCTTATCATTGTTTTTTCTTTTGTAGATATCTGGACAAACAATCAAACATATTTTCTTTTCCTTTCAAGGAGGGTTTGTGCTGCTAAACCTTCCCGATCCCCAGTTCGGCACTGAACAACCTCCAACCAACCATGTGTTAGGCACCTACCTGCCCTTCCTACAGAAATTGTATTCAAACTCTTGTCCTACTCCAGTACCAAGTTATCATTATTCCACATTCCAACATCTAGAGTCTGTTAACCACCCTTCTTCTTTTTCAACCTTTTTCTTTTTTTTTTCACCCTCCCTCCCTATTTTTTTCCTCTTTTTTTCCTCTGATTTAACACACTTTGGACCACACCCGGTGTACACATGACTAGTTTATCTCTAAAAGTAAGTCCATAACCCTTTTTTCTTCTGGTACAACTCCCATTTCCAGTTGCATCTGCAAGTCTCTCCCCAACAAGCCTACCCCAGGAACCAACAAGACATCTCCTATCCCCATGCCAGTCTCTCTCCTAATTACTGCATCTTCAATGACAGGGATTTTAAACCTTTCTCCTTCTGCCCCTGCCACCTCCACCATGTCACATCTCCCTGGAATCTCCACCACATAATTCTCCGCCCCAGAATAAATCACAAATTCCAATACTTCCTCTTGGGGACCTGCTTCCCAAGCTATCAAAGTCTCCAGATGACATTCATCCCCCGGAAAACAGAGCCCATGATCTTCCCACTCCTTCACAGGGCACCTCCCCTGAAGCACCTCCAAGTCACCCTCTAAGTGTGGGTGCTCTCTCCTGCTGCAGCAGGAAGAGGCATCCCCAGTCCTCTCCTGGACTCTGGCCACAGCGGGGCTCTGCCCCTCCTGAACCCCTCCCACAGACACAGTGGGAGCTGGAATCACCCAGGGAGCAGAGACAAGAGCGGGGGTCAGCAGTGAGGCTGGAACCAATAAAGGGACAGAGCTAGGAGCAGAAGTCAGCAGGAAAGCCAGAATTAAGGAAGAAACAGAGGGAGAAGCAGGCGGCTCCAGAGTCACAGCAGGAACGGGAGTGATCACGGTCAGTATGGGCAGGGAGGGCTGAAACTCCTGACACAGGCAGGGAGGCCGATACGGGTAGGGAGACTGGAGCTTCTGGCATGAGCAGAGAAACTGGAGACAGGAAGAGACAACATTTCCAGGGGGTCCCAGCACCTTTCTCTGTCTTCCCGTCTCATTTCCCCATGATAAATCCATTCCCCTGACATCCAATCCATTCCCCTGACAGCCCAAACACCTCCCACTCTTCACAGCACAGAAAAATACAATCCACCTTCTTCCAGAAAAGTTAAACTTTAAATCCACAATCCATATCACATACACTTTCGTTCATTCACACACACTCCCTTTTATTTAATATGTCTCACTCACTCGCACTCACAACAGGACAACACAAAAATAAGGTACCTTTGTTCTCAAATCACTGGTTAATTTCCACCCACGGGTATTTCAAAATCTCAAAATGTTATTGGTCAAGCCCAGATGCTCTTGGGTATTCCTCAATCCAGCTGTGTTGTTCAACCCTGGACGTTCGTGGGCATATCCTCAATCCAGCAGAATTTTGTTCAACCCTGGATGCTCTTGGACATAGTAATCCCTCAACCCAGCAGAAATTTTTAGGGGTCCCGCTCCACTTTTTATCCCACTTTCCCACAGGATTGTGCCAGGAAAACCCTCAGCTCCTGTCCTCCAAGGGGTCCACCCCTCCCTGGGACTGTCCCAGTGACCCTGGGAGATTCTCTCATTCCTTTTATGTCTCTCTTCGTCCCTTTACTGGCCGTTTTTCTCACAAAAGAACGGAACTGCAGCCTGGGAGACTCCTCACTCACCCCGCAGGTCTGGGATAACCAGCCCTTGTCTCACTCACACACAGTCATCACCCCAAAAGAATACTTCCCAACCCTCTTTTCTTCTTTGGGTCTTTGTGGACAAGAATTCCTGGGGTTACCACAGTTTTAGGGAGCCTTTTCCTTTATGTGTCTCCTTTTGCCCACTGGGTGTTGTACCTGCAACCAATCTCTGCCAGAAGAAGCTAGTGAGGCCGCTGAATTTGGGCAGGGCACGCCCCCTGCTCTGCATCCCCTGGGGTTTCGGAGGTGAGGTGTTAATACCAGATGAGTCCCCAAATGTGAAAAACACATTCACTCTGCTGTGAAAATGTAAAAGGTTTAATAAAGGACAATAGGAGACAAAGACAGTAAAGCAAAGATTATGGCCAGGTGCATCTTGGCACTGAGCTAACAGCACACCCTTACCTTTGAGTATACCCCTTAAATACCTGTCTCCTTACATCAGCCTGTTGCATACTCACAGACCCTAATGCATATTCATATTTTCCCATAAACTAAATATTCCAGGAACTATTTTGCATGGCCCATCCTTGGGTCTGACGTGTTTCTTGGCTGTGGTTTTGGCTTCTTCTCTTTATCACTTCCAGTCTGGGTCTTGGTCCATACTTCCTTCATATGGTGAGGGTTGATAGTTGGCAGTTCAATAGCAGGGTCCTCATTTCATGTTCACTGGATGTTATCCCAACCAAACAGACAATTCACTATATCACTACCATTACTACCATGTCTAAGATTTTTGTTAATAGCAGAAATAAAAGCAATTTGACATTATACATATTGCATTCAACATAATATTTGCAAAATAAAAAAAATTGCAAAAAACCCAACAATATAATATGTAGTTATAACACGGGCAGCTGCAGAGTCTGCGTCAGAGGTATTTCCTAGTTCTTTTTCTCTCTGAAATCTCTTTCCTATTTCTCTACCTCATGTTTCCTGGTCAATACTATCTTCAATAAAACACACGTTCAATAAAATCCATAGGTTGTGGCCCTATGGTCTCATTTGCACCTTCCCTGGGGCAGAGGTGTCTCTCCCTCCTGGGACTCCAACCCATGGGCAGGGTCCCTTCTCCCCTCGATCACACTGGGATTCTCTTAGGGACTCACTTTCATTTTGTCTTCCCTCTGCTTTGAGTGGGGAATGGGCTGGAAATGGCAACCTTTGCTGTCTGCCCTGGTAGCCTACTACACAGTTTCTGGGCCTTGTCACCTACCCCTACACAGCTCCCTTGGGAAGCAGGGCAGAACCAGCCCCTGGGAGCCTTGGGAATTTCCCTCTTGGATGCACGGCACACATTCAAATGATCTGGAATTCCAGTTTCCACAGTACGGCACCCCACGTCCCTCCCAAGAACCCTCAACTCACTCAAACCCATCATCCCCACATTCCCTGGGACTTCAGCCCATGTCACCATCCATGCCCATGTCCCCCACATCTCCCCACCCATGTCTGTGTCCCCTGATGTCCCCTTCCACGCCAGTGTCCCCACCATATCCCCATTCATGGCTCTCCACGTCCCCACCCATGCCCATGTTGCCCATGTCTCCTTCCATGTCCATGGCCCCATGTCACTGTCCATGGCCAGGTCTCCTTGAGCTCCTCTTGCATCCAGGTGCCCAGTGGGAGCCAGGAAGATGTGGAGACCACCAGCTAGGGGTCTTTCTAACATGGATCACCAGGACCATGGATCACCAAGTCTCTGCCCAACGAGGGTCACTGTGGACCATCCAATGGGGGTCCTCCAGTGAGGGATGGAGTTGGAGCAGCGCTCAAAGCTCTTCCCGCACACGGGGCACTTGTAGGGCTTCCCTTACTGCTGCCTCCCTTGGTGTTGGGTCACGGCAGCGTTCTGGGAGAAGCTCTTCCCACACTTGGGACTCTGTTAGGGCCTCTCCCCAGTGTGGATCCGCTGGTGGGTGACGAGGGTGGAGTTTTTCTTAAAGCCCTTCCCGCAGTCGGGGCAGCGGAAGGGCCTCTATTCTGTGTGAATCTGCTGATGCTTGAGGAGACGGTATCTGCTCTGAAACCTCTCCCCACACTCAGGACACTCATAGTGCTTCTCCCCAGTGTGGATCCTCTGGTGGGCAATCAGGCCGGACCTCTGGGTAAAGCTTTTCCCACATTCTGAGCACTTGTAGGGCCTCTCCCCAGTGTGGATCCTCTGGTGGGCAATCAGGAAGGAATTCTGGCTAAAGCTCTTCCCACATTCTGAGCATGTGTAGGGGCATTCCCCAGTGTGCATTGTCTGGTGGATGATCAGGCCAGAGCTGTCACGGAAGCCCTTCCCACATTCCCCACACACATAGGGTCGTATCCCAGTGTGGATCATCTGGTGGCGGTACAGGTGGCAGCCCTTCCTGAAACCTTTCCCACATTCTTCACATTTATAGGGCCGTTCATCAGTGTGGATCCTCTGGTGGTGGATCAAACTGGACCTGATCCTGAAGTTCTTCCCACATTCCCCACACTCATAGGGCCGTTCCCCGGTGTGAATCCTCTGGTGGGCGATCAGGTGGGAGCTGATGGTGAATCCCTGTCCACATTCCCCACACTCATAGGGCCGTTCCCCAGTATGGACTGTCTGGTGGCGGATCAGGTCAGAGGTGTCTCTGAAGCTCTTCCCACATTCCCCGCACTCATAGGGCCGTTCCCCAGTGTGCACCATCTGGTGGCGGAGCAGTTCCTGGGTGATCCGTGATTACCAGGACCACGGATCACCGAGTCTCTGCCCAGCGAGGATCACTATGGGTTATCCAGCGCGGATCCTCCCATGGGGGATGGAACTGGAGCAGCGGACGAAACTCTTCCCACGCCAGGGGCACCGGTAGGGATTCCCTTGGTGCTGCCTCCCTAGGTGTGGGGTCACGGTGGAAATCTGGGAGAAGCGCTTCCCACTCTCGGGATGCTGTCAGGGCCTCTCCCCATTTCCAGCCAGAGGAATTCCGCTCTGACCGATTTCCTCAGCGGTGACTCCGCAGCTCCCGGGCAGAGCCCAGCGCCCAGCGCTCCCCACTCCCACCCCACCTGCGCCACCCGCTCGCATCCAGCGAGCCCCGGGAGCGGAATTTTGGCTCGGGGGGAGGGGGACGGCACGGACGGATCTGCACTGGGGGCCCCCGGCTCGGCTGGCCTCGGCAGCATCGCATTGCCCTGCACCCCGCGGGTGAGCGCGGAGGGGAAGCTCGCCCCGAGTCGATCGCGGCAGCTCCGGGAGGGATTTTTGGGGGGGAAAGGAGGGAGGTTGGAGGGGTTTGGACCCTGCCGATTCCGGAGTCGCGTCCCAAATGTATTTCGGTTTTGCTGGGAGCAGTATTTTTTCTTCCTATGATGAGGGGATATTTTGGGTCTGGCGGAGCGCAGAGCTGAGCCGTAAATGGCCCGGGGGGATTTTGCGGGGCCCACGTGGCGATCGGCCGGTGCCGTTGGGGCGGGACACGGGTTTTGGGGATCCCCGGGAGAGCCGGGGGATGAAAGGCGGGAGCCCCGGCGTGGGGAGAGGGGCGATAGCAGAGCTGGGGGAGCTCCGGCAGGCGGGAGGGGTGCTGGAGCTGGGAGATGAGTGGGGCCCGGGCCCCGAGCCTGAAAGTATTGTCGGGGAGCGGGGGAAGCGCTGAGTGCCTGCAGTGGGGGGATGCTGGAGAAGGGACCCTGGGACACCTGGGAGCCGCGTTCGAATGAGGGCAGGATGAGCCCTGGGAGCCCCAAAAGCCCCTCAGCATGCCTGAGCAGGACCCAGGAGAGGGGGGATGCCCAGGAGCCATGGGCCCCTCAGCAGCTCTGAGAAGAGGGACCCCCATGACCCCAAAGTAAGGACACTGGAAACGGGGAACCCCTGGGAGTGTTTTTTTGTCTCTTCCTTGATTCTTGGAGGTATTTCTGGCCACCAGACACCCGGTGACTTCTAGAGATGCACTTGGCCAACGCGACTTTCAAAGGCAATGCACTCACATCTTGTTTTTCCCCAAATCAGGATTTCCCATTCCCAGACCTTGTCTGGATGGAGGAGAAGGCTGTGAGGAAGCGGAAGGTGCCAGCCAGACATCTGGCCAGAGCTCTGAGGTCCATGAGCAGCTTGATGATGGCAAGAAGCCCCACCAGTGTTTGGAATGTGGGAAGTTTTCTCACGAGCTCCCGCCTGATTGTCCACCAGAGGACCCACACGGGGGAACGGCCCTATGAGTGCGGGGAATGTAGAAAGACCTTCAGCATCAGCTCCTACCTGATCCGCCACCAGAGGATCCACACTGATGAACGGCTCTATAAATGTGGAGAATGTGGGAAAGGCTTCAGGAATAGAGGCCACCTGAGCCGCCACCAGACGATCTACACTGGGATACAACTCTATGTGTGGGGGGAATGTGGGAAGGGCTTCTGTGACAGCTCTGGCCTGATCATCCACCAGACAATGCACACTGGGGAATGCCCCTACATGTGCTCAGAATGTGGGAGGAGCTTCATGGAGAACTCCAGCCTGATTATGCACCAGAGGATCCACACCGGGGAGAGGCCCTACGAGTGTGGGGAATGTGGGAAAAGCTTCATCCAGAGATGTCATCTGGTTTTCCACCAGAGGATCCACACTGGGGAGAGGCCCTGTAAGTGCAGGGAATGTGGGAAAAGCTTCAGTGCGCCCTCCACCCTGATTGCCCACCAGAGGATCCACACTGGGGAGAGGCCCTACAAGTGTGAGGAATGTGGGAAAAGCTTCAGCCAGAGGTCCGGCCTGATTGCCCACCAGAGGATCCACACTGGGGAGAAGCACTATGAGTGTCCTGAGTGTGGGGAGAGGTTTCAGAGCAGATACCGTCTCCTCAAGCATCAGCAGATTCACACAGAATAGAGGCCCTTCCGCTGCCCCGACTGCGGGAAGGGCTTTAAGAAGAACTCCACCCTCGTCACCCACCAGCGGATCCACACTGGGGAGAGGCCCTAACAGAGTCCCAAGTGTGGGAAGAGCTTCTCCCAGAACGCTGCCATGACCCAACACCAAGGGAGACAGCAGTAAGGGAAGCCCTACAAGTGCCCCGTGTGCGGGAAGAGCTTTGAGCGCTGCTCCAACTCCATCCCTCACTGGAGGACCCCCATTGGATGGTCCACAGTGACCCTCGTTGGGCAGAGACTTGGTGATCCATGGTCCTGGTGATCCATGTTAGAAAGACACGTGGCTGGTGATCTCCACATCTTCCTGGCTCCCCTTGGACACTTGGACACAGCCAGAGAAAGATGCATTGGGATGCAAACCGACATCAGAATTTCATAGGGGACAGCACATTTTTTTACTTTTGACCCCAAAAATATCTCACCTTTTGCATCCAATCATTTCTTCGGGTGGCATCAAGGAATACTGGATGGTCTTGGAGGTCTTTTCCAAACGAAATCATTCCATGATTTAATTCTCTCTGGCACATATGCATTTTTCACAGCCAAATAGTGATGGACTGGAGCAAAACCACAAGATTTTGGAGACAGTGGAGTGGAAATTCCTCTAGAAAAGGCCTTTTCTACCCACCCAGGCACATGGATACTCAGCCAGCATGGACACGTAAATCCTTTAATTTTGGCCTTGATTTTCTTTCATTTTTCTTCATCCCTTCACCCAAACATTGGGGTAAAAATAATGACATTTAACTAAGACACGGATGGTGACATTGGGAAACATGGTGGGGACATGGTGGGGATGGGGACATGGACAAGGACGTGGGTGCGGACATGTCTGTGGATGGCGGTATTGGGCATGGGGGGATCACAGATATAATTGGGGCATGGGGCTATATGGCCATGGATGAGGACATGGGGGATGTGGCCATGGGTCGTGACAAGTGGCCTAGAGGGCAAGTCCCTGGGTTGACATGTCCATGCCATGAGACGTCCCATGACCAAGGACAACACATCCCCACCACCACCACAATACTGTCCCGTTCATGCTCCCGTTTATTCCCTGCTCCTCCCCTGGCTGTGACACCTCCCTTGGGGGATGTCCCCATGTCCTGGTGACCCGTGTCTCTCAGGCCACTCCCACCAGTGGTTCCAGCAGCAGCCAGAGCCCGTCCTCGGCACGCAGGATCAGCTCGGGCTTGCGGCGCGGGGGTGGCCTAGCCGTGTCCCTCCGCAGAACAAACTGGGACAGTGTCAGTGCCACTACCACCTTCATCTCAGCCATGGCAAAGCTCTGCCCGATGCAGTTCCTGCCACCACATCCCCACTGTCAGTGTCACCCCACTGTGAACCCAGCCAGGGACGGGGGTGGCTCTTGGGGACACTCCTGTTCCCCCTCCACCACATACCTGGGGCCAGCAGAGAAGGGGATGAAGGATGACGGGGACCGTCCCTTGCTGTTCTCTGGGCTGAACCTCAGAGGATTGAACACTTGGGGTGACACCAATACAGTCACATTGAGGGGACACAGCTGTCACCACCATGGTGACAGGGACACCTCATAGGGTGACCCTACCTCAGGCTCAGGCCAAAGGTCTGGGTTGTGGTGGGTCCCGTAGATGCTCATCAGGCAGATGACCCCTGGTGGGATGGGAATGGCACCTTAGGGACAGCAGATGAGGGTGGCTGGTGACACTGGGGACACCTTGGCCATGCCATACCCTTGGGGATGACACGGCCATCACGCAGGGGGATGTCCTCGGTGCAGCGCCGGGACACAGCAGTGACAGGAGGGTGCAGCCGCAGGCTCTCCTTGATGCACATGGTGGTGAAGGGCAGCTGGGACAGGTCCTCCCTGGGGACAAGCAGGGGTGGCACCGTGTCCCTGAGCCACCTGTCCAGGGGTGGCCCTGGGGACATCTCACCATTCAATGTCCGCAGTGTCCCGGCCAGCCAGGAGCTCCTGGACCTCCTGGCGGCATCGCTCCTGGTGCTCAGGGTGGCCAGCCAGGTTGTAGAAGAGCCATGCCAGGCCACTGGCTGTGGTGTCATGACCTGTGGGGACATTGGGTGAGTGAGGGGACACTGGAGTGGCTCCTCCCCAGTGGCCCCTGGGAGCTCGTGCTCACCCTCAAACATGAAGGTGTCAGCCTCAGCCGCGATGTCCTCGTCTGACAGGGTGTGGCCGTTCTCATCCTGCAGGGGTGAGATGAGCCATGGGCCACCTGGGGCCACCAGCCAAATCCCATCCATGGCCACCACTCTTCCCCCATGGCTACCACCCTATGGGCACCACCATCCCACTGGCCACCAGCTCTGTGGTCAATGCTGGCCATGGCCACCACTGTTCCCCTGTGGCCACCAGTCTATGCCCAAGTCCCTCACGGCCACCAGCATCCTCCTGGCCTCTATGGCCAACCCTTGCATGGCCACCACCATCCCCTTGACCACCGTCCCCCCATGGCCACCACCCTATGGTCACCATCATCTCCCCATGGCCACAGCCACCCTCTTCACCACTTCCATGTCCCCATGGCCACCACTGCAGCCCCACCTTGGTGAGCAGCAGGAGGTCGATGAAGTCCATGCTGCGTCCCCGGTGGCCGTCCAGCCAGGCCTGGTGGCCCAGGCAGGCGAGTGCCTGGCGCCGGCGCTGCACCACATCAGCAGTGAAGGCGTGGACAGTGGCACAGGCTCGGGCAAAGCGCCGGCCATCAGAGGTGAGGCTGTAGAGCCACCACGGGTGGAGAAGTGGCCGGAGCTGGCGCCGGACCACCAATGAGCTCAGCTCCAGGATGGCCTGGATGTACTCACTGGGTCGCCTGAACCAGGAACAGTGGGGGGACACTGTGGCCACCATAGCAAGGCCATTGGAGCCACCAGAATGGCTAACAGGGACAGTGGTGGGACCACGATGGCCTGTTGGGACTATGGTGGGGCCTACGCCGTCACCAGGATGGCCAGCAGGGACCATGGTGGGGCCAGCACGGCCAGCAAGATGGCCAGCAGGGACAACGGTGGGGTCACCATGGCCACCAGGATGGTCAATGGGGACAGGTGACACTCACTCCTGGCAGTGGCTCTCATGGCTGAAGATGCACTTCTGGAGCGTGTCCAGGGTGAGGAGGCTCAGGGGCTGCAGCACCTCCAACTCCACTGGCCTCCCACCAGCTGCCGCTGCTGCTGCCCCCCACTTGGCCTGCAGAGATGGGTTGGGGAGGGAACAGGGAAGGGATCAGGGACAGGGGACAGGGGATAAATTGGGAGGTGGGACAGGGGTGGGAGAGGGGGAAGAACTGGGGTGGGGGTGTGGAACAGGGATGCGGTGATGAACGAGGGGTGAGGTTGGGGTTTGGGAGCAGGTTTGGGTTTGGCGTATGGGACAGTACAGGATTTGGGTACAGGACAGGACTCCAGGTGCAGGACAAGAATCAGGATGCAGCAGTGGGTGTGGGACAGAATTTTGGGTGCGGGACTCGGGGTTTGGGATGAAGGTCAGGGTTTGGGATGCAGGTCAGGATTTGGGGTGCAGCACTCATGATCTGGGGTGCAGGTGGGGACTCGTGTACATCTCGGATCTCTCACGAGCAGCACGCGGGTGCTCTGGTTGAAGATTCCCAGGTAATTCCGGAGCACATCTCCGTGGAAGGCGGGTGTCAGGAGTCGCCGGTGCCGCACCCAGCGCTGCCCATCGCTCAGCAGCAGCCCCTCCCCTGGGGAGGGCACACCGGGGTCCGCCGAGGGCAACGAGGGAGGGCACTGTCCCTGTCCCCAACCATCCCTGTCCCCCGTGACCCATCTAGATCCATCTGGGGGCACCCAGGGGTGCTGTCCCTGTTCTCCACCACCCCTGTCTCCCGTGACACACCTGGATCCATCCTGGGGGCACCCAGGGGTGATGTCCCTGTCCTTCACTGCCCCTGTGACACATCCAGATCCATCTAGGGGCCCACCCAGGGGCGCTGTCCCCACTCCTGTGACACCCAACTCCATTCACAGGGCACCCCGGGTGCTGTCCCCACCCTAAGCCCCACCACTCACCCAGCCAGGGCTTGAGGAAGCCGTAGGAAATTTTGTCCTTGGGGGCCACGAAAGCTGCAGGGTACAAGGATGGGGTGAGCAGGGATTCACTGGGGTGCCATCAGGTCCCCTGCGTGGGGACACTGGGGGTGGCACTGCCCTGTCTGCACCCATTAACCCTCAGGTGGGGACCCTGGGGTTGGGACCCTCTCCCAGCACCCATGGCCACCAAAGGATGAGGGTTGGGTGACAACCAGAGGCTGGACATGGTGACACCTTTGGGTGGCCTTGGGGAACCTCAAGGACAGGTTGGAGGCCACTGTGGGGTGGCATTTGGTCTGGCCATGGTGACACTTCTGGGGACCTTTTAATAATAATGGGCTTGGGTTGGTGGCCACTGCCTGGGAACTGCTAGGTCTCTGTGCCAGGTGTGGTGACACCCATGGGTGGCCCTGGGGACCCATCTGATGTCCCATGTCCTACCTGAGGCACTGAGGAGTGGTCGGAGGGTGCTGGGGTGGAAGAGGCGCAGGACAGGCAGCCAGGGAAGCCCCCACCAGAGGCAGCCATGACGGTACCGGGCCACCAAGGTGTCCACCTGCTGTAGGGCTTCCTCCGTGCTGTGGCCCTGGGGACAACAGGATGTGTGTGTCATTGGGGGCACAGATAAGCCTGGGGACATGTGTGTCCTCAGGACACTGCCAGCCTTGGGGACATGTGTGTCTGTCCCCACTGTCCCCTCACAGGTGCCAACAGCCTGTCTCCACTGTCCCCTTGCTGGTGCCACCACCCCACCCTCACCATTCCCCCAAGTGCCACCACCCCATTCCTTCGGTCCCCTCACAGGTGCCACCACCCAATTGTTCCTTTGCAGGTGCCTCCACCCCTGTCCCCGCAGGTGCCACCCGCTGTCCCCTTACCATGCCGGTGTGTCCCAGCAACCAATTGCGCCAGGGCGGGATGGGGAACTTGTTCAGCTGGCGACAAGTGGCCCGGAATCGGGTGACAGCCACCAGCGCATCCCAGAGCCACCGCAGCAGCAGGGCCACCACAAAGGTGCCCAGGGCCACCGCGCCCAGGGAACCCAGCGCCGTGGCCACCGCCATGGAACCGCTCCTGGGGACAGGCTGGGGACAGGGCAAGGGTCGGGCATGGGCGGTGTCCCCGCGGGGTCACGTGGCGCCGCGCTGGCTGTCACCGGATCCGCCTTTTGTCGTAATGCGCGTTCTGGGGGCAGCGTCCTCTGACGCGTCCTGGTGGCTTCTGGTGCTGACATGTCCTGGTGGCAGCGTCCCCACTTGTGTATCCTGGTGGCATCGTGTTCCCCCCTTGGTGTGTCCCCGTCTCCCTGTGTGTGTCCCTGTCCCCCCTTTCATGTCCCCCTCTGTGTATCACTGTTCCCCACCCGTGTGTCCCTATCTCTCTGCACATGTCCCTGTCCCCTCTGAGTGTCCCCGTCCCCATATTCCTCGTGTGACCCTGCTCCCTTCCCTGTGTCCCTGTCCCCTGTGAGTGTCCCCATCCCCATCTCCCCCGTGTGACCCTGTGTGACCCTTCCGTGTGTCCCTGTCCCTCTCTCTATGTCCCCTGCCCCCCCGCCCCGGCAGGACCGAGGTCCCCGAGGTCCCGGGGCCGTGTCCTGTGGGATATTCACGTGTCCCACAGCGTGTCCCCGTGTCCCGTAGGATGTTCCCGTGGCTGTTCCTTGCACTGAGCTTCTGCGCCTGTGCCAGCACAGAGAGGGACACCCCATGACACCCCACAGCACCAAAAACACTTTGACCTCTGGTTTTCTGTCTTTTCTCTTGGTTTGGGTCCTTTCCCCCTCTCGGGTCCTTTAACCCTGTTTTGGGTTCTTTCCCCTTCTTTTGGGTCTTTCCCCTCCGTTTAGGGTCCTTTACCTATTTTAGGTGCATTTTGGTCCTTTCCCTTAATTTTGGCTGCCCTCCCCCTGGCTTTGATGCATTTTTGGGTGTCTTCTCCCTCTCAACCCCGTTCCCACCCTTCCCCCAACATGCCTCCACTCCCTGCCCACCCCTGTCCCCCCAGGTGTCCCCAGGGGTGTCCTGCATGCCATGTGTTCTCTGTGACTGACATCATGGACACCCTTGAGTCCCCGGCCCGGGGAAGCTCCCCTACCACCGCCACAGCACTGGGGTGGGGGCTGAGGGTCTGCAGGACCTTGGAGTGCCAGGCAGGGCTGGGTGAGCACCCCCGGGATCCCCTCCCAGGTCTCACTCCCAGGCAGTGGCAGCTCCTGACCGAGCTCCTGTGCTGTGACCCTGTGACACTGGACCATGGGGCCATGCTGGCCCCCAGTGGCTCCACGGTGGCCCTTGGTCCCCTCTTTGCCAGCACTAAGATGGGGCTGAGGTATGGAGGATCTGGGTGACCCCTCCCCAGCCTCAACCCCCTGCTGATCCTCTCTTCACTGTCACCATCACTGAGGCTTTGGGGACATCTTTCCTGGTGACAACAATGGGACCATGCTGGAACCCAGCAGCCGCTGGGACCACGTGGAGAACTCCTAAAATTACACCTTGCAGGGCCTCCTGTCCCCTGTCCCCGATGCTGTGGTCATCAGGGCCATGGATGGGGTGGTCCTGGGGGCACGACTGGCCTGACACCCCATCCTGCTGGCCAAGCTGCTCCAGGGCTACTACAGGACTAGCAATGGCTTGGAAATGGGGAGACCCCCCCCCCCCCCCCCCCCCCCCCCCCCCACCCCCGGCCGTCGCGGGGGGGGGGGGCGGGGGAGCAGTTATGGCACCAGGATTTTGGGGCGCTGGTGTGGCCAGGACAGCTGGAGAAGGAGGAGACAAAAGGAGGCTTGGGAGATGCTGTGGGTGCTGTCACACACCTGGCAGCTCCTGAAGGATGTGAAGACACATCAGGTGGAGGTCGTGGGTTGTCGGGTGTCACAGGAGTTAAATGAGTGCTACATGGGTATGGCAGGGGATATCACCCCCTAAACGGGGTTGTCACCACACAAGTGGGGATTGTCACCCCCTAAACAGGAGTTGTTACCAGACAAAGGGGGTTTGTCACCACACAAATGGGGGTTGTCACTGCACAAATGGGGTGGGAAGGAGTGAGAGGGGACCCCAGGTGAGTGGGGTGGGGTCACTCTCATGTGTGGGCACTGAGAGATGACGGCAGGGACAGGTGGCTTGGTGTAGTGGGACATCTTCGGGTCCCCTGGGTGGACACCATTGCGTCCCCTGGGTGGTCACCACCATGTCCTGTGGATGGCCACCACTATGCTGCCTGGGTGGACACCATGGTTTTCCCTTGATGACCACCACCATTTCTTCTGTATGGACACAACTCTGTCCCCTGGATGGCCACCACTCTCTCCCCTGGGTGGCAGTCCCTAGGTGGCCACCACCACGTCCCCATGGCCAACACTATTGTGTCCCTTGGACACTGGCCACCTCATGTTCCCGCCAAAGGACACCCTGGGTACCCCCTTCCCATCTCCTCAGTAAATCCCAGGAGGACCCTCCCACATCCAGGCTGAGGGTTCCTCAGATGTTCCCATGTGTCCCCAATGACCTGTAAAGCTCCTTGTCTCCACACAGACTCTGCCGTGTCCCCAAGGACCCACTGAGCCCCTTGTCCCCACGCAGACTCTGATGTATCCCCAAGGGCTCAGGGGATACATGGAGCCCCTTGTCCCACTGCATGTCGGGGTGGTCCCTACTGGGGCACCCTGTAAATGCTATGGCTCCTGCTGCATGTTCCTGCACCACACCCTGGAGCCAGTGAGGCCATGCCAGAGCTGCTGCACCTGTTCCCATGCCATGAGGGACATGCAGAGCTTCCACCAGGACACCCACAGCTGTGACAACATTGGCTGCAGGTCACTGTCACTCTCTGAGGGTGTTGGTACCCCGCAAGGGAGATGTCATTGTACTCTGGCGGGCTCTGTCACCACCTGAAGGACCTGTCGCCCTCCAAGGTCCCCATCAATGTCCTCTTGTAGTCCCTACCATTGTCCCCTCACTGTCCCCACCACTGTCCCCCCATGGTTCCCACCACTGGGTCCCCACTGTCCGGTCCTTGTAGCTTCGTGGTGGGCTTGGATGGGTACCTGTACGAGGGTCGGGGGTGGCACTGGGTCGGTGCCCCCACCAAGGACTACGATACCAAGGGCTTCAGCACTGGCATCATCCAGGACTTCTCAGCCACCCTGCCGGACCCCGACACCCTGGCCCTGATGAAGGATAAATTCCAGCCCTGTGCTGTCCACTCTGGTTGCGTCCAGCCAGACTTCACTCTGTGTGGCCACTGCCAGCTCAGCCACACCAATTGCCCTGGCAATGCCCTCTTCCAGGGGATCCAGAGCTGGCCCAGCTTCCAGGGGATACTGGTGTCCCCAGGGCTTGGGGTGGGCATCTCAGTGGGGTTGGTGGGAGGAGGTTCAGGGTGATGATACTGGGACTGACTGAGTCCTGTGCTGTGCTCCATGGTCATGTCCCATGCCATGTCCCATGTCCTGTGCCCTGTGTCTTATGCCATGCTCCACGGTCATGTCCCATGTCCCTGTGCTCTCCAGCCATGTCCCATATCCTGTGTCATGTCCTGTGTCCTGTGCCAGGCTCCAGGGTCATGTTCCAACCCATAGCATGCCATGTGCCATCTGTCCTGTTCTGTGTCCCATGCCACACTTCGCACCATGCCCCATGCCATGCCCCAGGGCCCACAAAAAACTGCATGGCAGCATCCCCATCACTGTCCCCATCACTGCTTCCTTCTTGCTGCTGCACCAGCTGATCCCCAGGTTAAAACCCTCAGCTTCCTCCAGGACTGGTGTGGCTTTGCCTGGCCCTGGGCCCCACTGGCGGCTGTTCTGTGTCCAGGATGGGGGGTGACACTGGCACACATCTGCACACACCTGGTATTGGGGCTGGCAGCGGGGCTGGCACCCATCTGGGACCGGGGTGGGGACTGTCTGAGATCAGTGGCATCATGGCACCAGGCCTGGGAAATGAGGCTGGGAACTGGGACTGGGGCTGGGGAATGGGGCTGGACACGAGGCTGGGCAGTGGGACTGGCCACCAGTACTGGGCATTGACACTGGGCACTGGACGCTTGGACTGGACAGCGGGGATGGGCACTGAGGCTGGACACTGGCACTGGGCATCAGCACTGGGCACTGAACCAGAAGCAGGATAAACCCCTCTGCCCCTTCTCCTTTGCCCCCCTGAGCCCTGCTTTGCCTACCCAAAGCTTGGTTGCACCAGATGCCGGCAGGATCTGGCACCTTTGGGGATGTTTCCCAGGGAAAGAAGGGTGGTTTGGGAGTACTGTGTGTGCTGACTCCAGTCCCTCCCAGACCCAGATGGGAGGACCCCCTGGGGGGCTGTGAGAAGCCCTAAAAAGAGACTCCCCCCACAACCTCCCAGTTCATCAATCTCAAGGTGGACAACCCCTACCCCAGATCCCACGCCTCCAAGGGCCCCAGGGGCAACACGGATCTGTCTCTGTCCCCTCCTCCAGAGGCTGTTGTGGAAGAGGCTCCTCTGGGAGAGGAAAAGTAGCAGTAGCACCAAAGTTCACAGAATCACAGAATCAGCTGGGTTGGAAAGGACCTTTGAGATCATCAAGTCCAATCTGTGACCTAACACCACCTTATCAACTAAACCCTGGCACTGAGTGCCACATCCAGTCTTTTTTTATACACGTCCAGGTGCTGTGACTCTACCACCTCCCTGGGTAGCCCCTTCCGATGCCCAATTACTCTTTCAGTAAAGATTTTTTTCCTAATGTCGAGCTTAAACTTCCCCTGGCACAGCTTAAGACTGTGTCCTCTCCTTCTGTCAGTGGTTGCCTGAGAGAACAGCCCCCACCTGATTAAAACTGCCTTTCAGGAGGAAGGAGGGGTGGGTGGGTGTTGGGGTTGTCCTGGTGACACTCCTTTCCCTGCAGGATCCCCATCAGAGTGGAGGGGGGCAAGGTGGGTGCTGGGGGTCCCCAGTGACATTCCTGTCCCTGCAGGGTCCCCACCGGAGCAGTTTTGGGGCAGTTCCAGTGACACTGTTCCATCTGCAGGGATGCCCTGAGTGCAGCAAACGGGAGAGCTCCCGGCTGGCAGAGGCACCGCTCGCAGGGACTTGGCTGCTCACTGCTGCTGGGGCCCAGCACAGCTCCAAGGGGCTCCTCGGGCACCCCTGCATAGAGGGCCCCAAGGGATGGCCTTTGTCACAACAAGATTTCATCCTGGCCCCACTTTCCACCGGCAGCTTTCTTTCAAAAAAGAAAATTACATTTCTTTCATTTTCTGTGAGAATTAGAACGTGATGCCATTTGGGCAAAAACAAATTTCAAAGTCTATTCAACAACAACAACCCAAAACCAAAAAAAAAAAACCAAAACAAAAAAAAAAAAAAAACCAACCCCAAACAAACAGAAGCACATTAGAACACTGCAGTTCCTGGGAGCACACAGTGTTTCTGAGAAGCTCCCGAGCAGCTCAGCCCACCTATGGTTCATCAAGGCCAAGGCCTAACCAGCACTTCTTAGATAGATCATGGTGAGGCCTGAAAGGGAGGCAGGGGTGAGGGTATTTAAAATTACTTTGAGAAGTATTGTCTCCTCATATTCATTATCATCCAGTGTGTGTGTCTCAAATTGGCAGCGAATGACCTCCTTCAGCCTTGATGCCACTCCTAGGCATTCCCAGATGAGCTGGCAGTGGAAGACAGTAAAAAATACAGGTGTTATCGGAGCCTGTGTGGCCTCTCAAGTGGCTCTTCGCCTCTCCTCTCGACTTGCACAACCGAGGTGGATATAAATGACAGTATGAACACAGAACATCTTAAACGGGTTTTCTGCCCAGTGGAAGGTTGTGACAGGGATATTTGATAAGTACTGATGACTGAATCTGAGCTGCATCGTGTAATCCTGGCTTTACAGTAGTTGGAAGGACGGTGAGGGCAAAAGTGGCCACCTCCAGGCCCTCAGGAAACCGGCAGCAGGCAGCTCCGGCTGGACGCTGGAGGGCTTCTTTGCCCCGGAAAGCCACCTAAATCGTACTCTTATTTTCACCATCAGGCCCTACAGGAATATTTTTTTAAAGATTTTTTTCCTGCTGCCCTGCAGCGCCCCCGCCGCGCTCCCGGCGAGCCGCCTCCCTTCGCTCCGCCTGCGCGGCCCGGGCCCCGCTGCCCCCCGAGCGCGCCCAGCCCCGCACAGCGCCCGGCTGAGGGGAGCGTGGCGAGGCGGCACAGCCCGGCCCGAGGGCCCCGCCCGCCCGAGAGCGCAGGGCCGGGCGCCCTTGGCGGCTTTCGGCTTCGCTTCCGCGCTCTGAGGGTCATTTTGTGTTGCCCTGCCGGGCTGTTTTATTCTTCGGCGCGGCAGGCGGAGGTGCGGCTCTGGGCAGGAGTGTAGAGTGACATAAATAAAAGGGCA